TATATATATAAAATATAGTGTCTCAGATCATTGTCTTAACAGTCACAACGTTGGGTGTTAAGAAAGGGAAGAGTGTTTCCAACAGAGCTCTGAATGGCTCACTGCACCCTCCCAAAACAAGCGGTCTATAGACTGCTCTCAAGTCCCTGCCCCCAAATCTTCTTGGGCATTAGGCATAGGCTAGACTTGATGATCTCAGAGGTCTTTTCCAGCCTCAACAATTCTGTGATTACCTTCTGTCCTTTATAAAGGAGTAGTAGTGCCCTGCATGTGCCTGGCCACTGTGAACAATCACACCAACGAGCTCATAGTTTTCTGTAGGGGCAACTTTCTTCCTTGGGGAGCCTCCGCCTCCTTGATCTGCATTTCTACCGTTGTCCCCCACTTCTGAGGATGAGTCCTGGCGAGCCATCCCTGACACGGTGTAAGGTTCCATGTTCAGCATCCAGGGAAACTGTTTGAAGAGATATTTCAGATTAACTGAGAGATTATATTGTGTAATTTTATTATAACAGCATAGTAATTAGATTATATTAGTGTAATTTTATGAGAATTGCATTAATGCTTTCCACATTGGAACATCAAAGGAAAACATGGTACTTCAACTTTTTAGCCTTATGAGTCTGAACTTAAATGTCTCTATAGAGGTTTCTGCTCTTGCTTTCTGAACAGACCCCGAGAATGCCGCAGACAAGGGAAGTTCTAAGGAAAAACACTTATTTTCTATAGCATAATTGTGTTGTAAGTGTATTGCATACTCAGAATTGCTGTTATCAAAATAAGAAGAATGAATAGGAAGAATGAGAGTCCACTCCACAAAGCAGCGGGTGTGTGCAGGCACCATACAGAACATTTTCTTACCCTTATTTGTTCATCATATTTAATAGAGCGTCCACTCTCCCAGTCAAAACCAAATCTCATCAGGTGAATCACCAATAGGCTAGGTAAGACCTTGATGCATGTGCGCTTCACTGTAGTTCTCTTAAAAATAAAAAAGAATATCATCTCTATATCTATATAGCTCAAGTATTCCGTAGCATTCTTCTACAGATGCACAACTCCAGACATCTAGAACTGACGTGCAGAACAGCCCGGGGAGTCAGGATGACTCTAAGACATACACATTGGGGACCATTGCAGCTATCGGCTGGTACGTTACAGAACGTACCATCCCTCTAAATGTTCGGTCTGCAGTACGAGTTATAGGGAATGAAGATTGCTACCTGCATGGATATACAGATTTAATCTTTTGATTACATCTTCAACATAGAAAGATTAAGAAGTATTTAAGCGTGGCTTCTATGACCATGTAACGCTTTTAAAAACATCAAGTCACAGCTGAATCTTTCACATACGTTAAGAACCAATACCTTTTCTTTGCACTTTTCGCAGTAGTATGCATTGCTTCCTTCCAGAACTTCCCCTCTGACAAACTGATCCAATGATATTTCCAGACTTTGGCAGGAAGTCACACCCAGGTTAAGAGCCATGAAGGCCTCCTCACGCTCATACCTAAATTCAAGGAAAAAAACAAACCCAAAACAACAACAGTGAAGGCACTGACAGAGTAGAACCTATCCAACTTGCAATAAAAAAACATATGCTTAGGAAAGAACCCTGCATTTGCCCCTTAGCTATCCACAGCCATGATGCTCACAAAGGCATATGTGTCCACCTTCCTGAGCTATTTTGACCTACATATGTTAAAAGTTATGGGAGCACAGAATTTGATACCTAATGCACTAAATTCAACGTTACCTGTGAGGACAGTCCTTGCAGATCTTCTGATCAGAGAAGATTCCTTGAAAAGTATTCTTAAATATTTGGTCTCTTCCTATTTTCTGTTGGAGACATGAAGTTAGACATTAGTTGGATATATTGCAGAGTGAAAGACCAAGAAAGCAATAGGAATTTTAAACTTCTGAATATTATGTAGATTTTAAAATAAGCTGAATGGCTCTCTGCCGTCTTTTCCGAAGAACAAAGGAGAACAAGAGAAAAGGTAGCAAGGAGATGCACAGAAACAATGAAAGAAATCCCTGAGGTTTTTACCTTGAGGTACTCATCCATTTGATCTATAAGACTGGTGAAGAACTCATAAGCATCCTGTTGCTCTCTAACATAAAGTTCCTTATTCCACATCTTGAAAATCTATATGAAGTATATGTATAAATATATAAGTATATAAAAAAGGTGGTTGTTCCATATACACAAAGTGATTTTTAGAAGAAATTTGTTATTTTTCCATCTTTTAACTTTTTGAAGTAGAACTTACTTTATCTCTAGAAATTCTGCAATGAGAAAAGGCTGAAAATATAATTACTTGTTAAGTAGGAAAGCTATATATTCTAAGCAAAAAGACATAATACCTTCCAAAAGTTCTCGGGTACATAGTACTGTAGCTTGCTTTCCATCAAATGGCCAAAGAGAGATTGAACTTGATAGAAAACATTGTCATCTGGATTGTCTGTATCATCGTCAATGGAAAGCAAGGCCTGGAAGGAAACAAATAACTTTAATAAATAAGTTTTTGGCAAAATTATTGCTGTAAATTATAATGACACGCAGCACAACAACTTCTAATCTATGTGTTTACTGTGTATATATATTTATACACACCCCCATACATAGCTTTACTTTTCACATTTTAAACAATTCATTTACAAAGGGTGCTAAGATAGATTTGCGGTTCAGGTGACAGTAACTTCAAAAAGTAGACTTCACTGGAAGTCGAATCAATTACCTCTGGGAGACCAGGCTGCATGTACAGCTGCTGGAAGACAGCATTCATGTAACAAGTAGCACCACCGTTCTTCAGTCCCACAAATCCCGAAATGGAGCGACTATCCACAGGTGGAAGATACTAGAATGACAAACAGTTTTTTTTTCTGTCCCAGTAAGTTATAAAAAAAGCATGAGACTCCAACATCATCCTATAGCTTTTACAGTCACCTTTACATGAGCTGGTACTAACAATTTAATGGAAAACCATGAATATAAATTCTGAAAGATGGCAAGAGTGATACATTTGGTCATTTAGGTATTTAATGCTTTGCACAAAACTTTAAAAAATGGTGTGAAACACATCCAAAAAACTAGTGATATTTAGGAAATACTTCTTTCTTATCCAGATAACAACTGACTCAAAGACTCCCTGGGGTATCTGCATCTGAGAAAGACCAAATGGGTCTGTATTTACCCTTATCTATGTCTTGTCATTTTTAAATTGAGGACCCTGGAAACCTCATGAACAGAGTAGTTAAGCAGATCATATGCAGTACTCCAAACCACGTTCATACAAATCAAAAACGGCTTCTTGCTTACATCAAACTCCTTGGTAAGTGCAGGGTCACATTGGTGATGCATGGAAAGTAGCTCTTTTGTAATAAGCTGAAGATTGGAAGGGGAGCTATCAGCCAGCATTACCAACACTTCATAAGCAGCTAATCGGCTATCTGCTGTGCTGCACCTAAAAAGAAAACCACACTTGAGATCTATTTTGTAGGTGACTCAATTATTTCTAATTCCAGAAAGTCACGTTACTCAGAATAAGCGACAATTAATGTTCAGAAAGGAACACTTTAAATGACAAAACACTCCCGAGAGATTGCAGAGTGCTATTTTTTCTTTCTTGGGGAAGGGGAACAGGGAAGAATCGAGTCAGAAGAGCAGCACCAGGAACACTCCTTTAAATAAGCCTCCCTTACTGACATGGAGACACTGGCCGTTAATAGTTCAGCAGTAAGGAAAAGGAGGTGCCCTAAAAAGATGACACCGCATTGGCTGTATGTCTTGAGGACAAAGAGACAGATACTCTCTGTCACTGCAACACCGATGGAGATGTAATGACTTATTTACAGGGAGACACGCTTTGAAAGAGCTAGACCAGATCGCTCACTTGCTACAAGAGATGATCTTAGACCTAAGCTGCCCTTGAGCACTACAACACACTTCTATTTAGCTCTTTTCAGTGAGCTGTCAAACACACTAGCCCTTTCGTTTAAAGGCCAAATAAAAGGCTTTACTTTAAGCAAACAAAATATCATGTTTGAGATAAGCTGCAATGGAGCAAAGCTGGAACAAAACACTAAGGTGCAGCGAGTCCCATTCCGTTCAGGGCTTGCCAAACGCTCCACTTGGACCTTCCTCGGGGTTTGGGGACAGGCAGCGCAGATACACCCAATCCAACTCTTAACACCAACCAGCCAATGCAATGTAAGAAATGCAGCTGCAGCAGCTCACAACTCTGCACGAGCTAATTCACCCACCCCTTCAGGTATTGTACGGCAACAGCAGAAGGCAGGTGTCAAAGGAAAGAGAATAGCCCAGAATATATCAAATGGGGAAAAAAGAGTGGGCTTTATCAGCTACCCAGGAGCAAGGAGTGCTCAGTGTTAGCTTTTACAAAACAGTTCTTTCGACAGGAAAAAACAGCAGAACTTTCAAGATTCTCATTTGCAAGGGGCTCGGAAACTTAATTTTCTGCTCATGCTCCAATTTAGCCAACTTCTCAAGCGACAATGAACTAAAGGAGTACTCTTCGGACTCATGAAATCAGCACTCAGCTGTAATCACAGGTAATTACTATTTAACAAAGCATAGACAAGTAAAGATTTTGTGGGTCACACAAGAAATTACAAAAATGCTATTTGGACACTTATGTAGGAAACGTAGAGAACTGGAGAAGTGCTCCAACACTGGTATTAAATCCTAGTATGAGTAGCCTCAGTATGACACTTGCATTAGTGAGATCTAGGACAAAACCCAACATAAATAAAATCTGAATTTTTACTTTGGATGAAAGTCTTGCTGACTGATTGCAGCGCTGCCTGCTGGAGAATGGCTATTCAGAATAATCCTGGATGCTCGGAAGAGGAAATCATCCAACAATGGCTTAATCAAAGAAGAACCTGTAACACAGCAATGCACAATGAATGTTAAATACTTACATTATCACTGCAAATGTCACAAGGTGTTTCATAACAGCAAAATCACTTAACAGCACCATAACAACTGAAAACATTTGAATATTTTGACACAAGTCAAAGGTACTACCAAAGCTACTCCTTATAGATCTGTATCACTTCTACTGGTGTATTATAATGTCTTCACATATATTGTCTACTGATCAAGTCACCTGTTGGTGCTAAGCAGAATTCATGTTAGTCTAGTCACTTCAGAGAAAAAAAAAAAAAAAAAAAAAAAAGGAATACTTACCAACCATTTCCTTCTCTGCTCCACAAAGTGAAAGGAGAGTCTTGATAAGCCTCAAGTGACCGGCTAACAAGATATTATCAGCTTCACTAGTCTCACACTCGGCTGTGCGGTTGGGTTCAAAATTGTCTAGCCAGGTGATCTCATCTTCTAACATGGCAGCTGGGCTTATCTTTAGCTGTTCCATTTCTGATGCTGCAAGAGAAAAAGAAAACCTAGGAAAATTAACAGCTCTATAAATTTGGAATATAAATACAAAGAATTTAAAACAGTTTGGTAACGACCTAGTTTCCCCCCCCAAGGTGTACAAAGTATAACTTCCACAAAGGGACTCAGTTCACTTTCCAAAAGGTGTGAGCTGTCTTGCTGTTGCTGAATGCCAAGAACAGTCCATGCCAGGCATTAGCACACAGAAGGTCTTATCAAGTTCGTGGTCTAGTAACCTCTCCATGAAAGCAATTACACACCTTGTCTGCAGAAGACAGACATAGCTGGAAGCTGCAATCCAAATGACATGTGTGCCTGTACATACTTACATGTGAGGTCATCCAACAACTGACATCTCAGGTCAAAATATTCTGTACATTGGGACAGAAGTCTGAAACAAGTACAAAGAAAAGAAAGGTTTAATTTAAAATCAGAGACTTATTTCTAAGCAGTCGCCTTTAAGGCCTGTGTACCTGTCCATCGAATTCAAAATAGCACAGCTATCTAGGTATGCTTCTGCATGCACACGCTGCAGCTTTACAACAAATTCCCCCCCCAAAAGCTACTTCTGAATGTTAAGTAACATTTAATCCTGCTTTCTTCCTTCACCTCATTGCAATTTTAGTTAATTATTAGATGATAACACATTTTAACTTCTCGGTTACTGCTCTACTCAGATTCCTCTAAAAACGGCTGTTTAAAGTTACCTTTAAATTCAACAGCCTTTGGCCAGTCAGGGACACTCAGTCTTTACAGATGTAATGGGTAAGGCAAGTACCAAGAAATCAGGTGAAGTCATGGGTCCAGACATCACTGAAAAGGCTGGAGCCTTTTGGATTGGTCTCTGATCTGGATCTATGCAACACTATCAAATAAATTCAATGTTACTGTCATACATTCCATCGCCTCTGTCTCATGCAGGATTCCAGTCAGGTTCTGACTGCCATGACCGCATCCTAGAAAGAGCAGGCCTTTTTCACAGTTACCACCTCCTGAATGGGAAGTCAAATAAGCTGAACTATAAAAGTTCACAGAGGAAGAATTGTCCCTTGAGAGTGTGGCTTTATTTCCCTTCTATTTACATACTGACAAAACTATCTGGAACGTGACAGGGATGTCTGCTTTCAACAGACTCACAAAGTCCTTGGCCCTCGCGTCTCAGAGTTTCCATGTTCGTACTCATTTAAAAAGCGATAGATTTGCTTCAATAAACACATATCTGACTTACCTCTGGTTGATTCCTCTCATGATGCTGGTTGGTGACCAAAGAGGCAGCTGGGCACCAAGAACAACACTCAGCAGAAACTGGTTTGGCTTTTGCACATCTGGGTGAGCTGACGTGTCTGTTTGACTAAGGGTGTACAACTGGTCACAGGCAACACGACGAATCTGAAACAGTGTCACTGTCAAACACTAGCCAGTTGCTCAAAGGTTGCAAAAAATACACTTCTGTTTTGTTAGAAATCTAACAGAAAAAACAGACATTGAAAAGCTTGTGTAAACCAGACTATGAGCACTGCACCCACCAGGCAGAGTTTCCACATTTATAGGGATTTAGCAATCAATCTCCAACCCTAAGCTAAAAGCTTTGACGCTTTATTAAACACAGATTATAAATTCAGGTAAGTGGGAAAAAATGCACTGACTTCATGCAAAATATATGAGATGCAATGAAATGAAGCAAACGCGATTTGAAAATCTCTGGACTTTAGAATATCCAAATAATATTAAAGCAGAAAGAATGAATTTTAGAAGGGTTTTGACATTCGGAAGAATTTTTCAGAAGAGTCCCTTAAATCATAACCAAATCTTTTGAGATGAAAGTTACTTGGAATTTTCCCTAAAGTACCAGGTTTTACAGAATTTGTCTCAACAAAATGAAGATGTTTTCTTTAGACTAGGCACAGCACAGTCCTGTGTGCTTCATGGATTAAACAAGCCTAAAGAATGTAACGCTTCAGCATTTTCTATCGACACATCACTAGATACTGGAATCACTAACAATTATACAAAGGTTATTCATTCAAATACAAAAAATGGTGGGAATAGTTGCAAGGAACAATTTTATCTCCAGACCACACTCAACGACCAAAGTGTACACATTTCAGAAGTGTAACATTTCAGAGGTTTTCAGGGAAAGATCCTCACCTCAGCACTTGGTGATCCAAGCAGTATGTCAATGATGAAATCAGCAACACAAGGCAAATTGTAAAAAGATCCTAGAACAGAAGAGCAGCAGGCTATCTTTTGTAAAACAGTAATTTAAATTAAATTGGTTACAGTCTTGCATTAAAATACCATAGGACCTAGAGGACGTCTCCCCATTAACACTGAAAAACAGTACCAGCTATTTGCATATTTCCCCATCTCTTTCCCTCATCAGAGACAGGCACCACGGTTTAACAGCATTTTCCTTTGCCTTCTACCACCACTAAGTGTTTACATTTCCTGCACGCAAAGGTTCAAGTACTGAACACTAGCTGTGCAAACAGCAGCACGTACACAACTATGTACTTCCAAGTCAGTGCAAATATTTATATGCTGGCAGCCAGTCAGCTTTCCCAAAACATTTCAGTAAAGTACAGCACATGCCACCTGTTCTTAAGTCCTGGAAAAACACCCTGGTATTTTATAAATGAAATTTTGTGGTTTTTTTAACTTGGGCTGTCTCAGCTTTCAAAGCTAGAAGTTTCTTATGATTTTTTTTTTGTATTTGTCTGCCTCCAAAAGCCTTCCCCTACCTTAGTTATAATTCCATATAGCAAGTAATCCAATTTTATTTCGTACCTAGTTGTTGACTGCGTAGCTGAAGGCAGGTTACTAAGAGAGACAAGGCTTCTCCAGCAATCAGAGCATCTTTGGTGGATACAGACTGCTGCCTCACACAGATACCAGCGTGCAGAGCAGTTGGCTCTCCTTCGCTTCCTGAACTGCAATTACTTCCTGCATCAAGAAATGAACAAGTGCTGTAATTCATTAAGTTTTTCAGATGTTTTCAGCTTCTGGTAAGGTCTCTGCAATTTAAAAAAAAACACCTCTCCAAATGCCACGTCTCCAAATGCCACATGAATGTACAGCATTTTGCTCAGATTTCTGTATTTCAATCATGTAAAATGCAGAGTTGGAACAGACCCAAGAGGACCATCGAGTCCAGCTCCAATGAATTCAGGCTTCAAAAGTGTTCAATTAAGAATATAACAAAAACTTTTTTTAGATTGGTTTAGAGACACAGTTAACTTACCTGAGCTGCTAAGTCTGTTACGAATCCCAGCAGGAAATAAAGTGTTGCTCTCTTTTATTGGCTGACTACTTCCCACAAGGTCTAGTCGTCCTGCAGCAGCAGCCCAAGAGAGTCGCATGAAGCAAGCCACTGTGGAAGTGAAATCACTCACCTCCATAGTCTGAAGGAACAAGAAACAGAAGTTACTTTCTGCAATATTCAGCAGCCTTTGCTAATTACAGGCACAAAAGGGATGTATCTTCCAGATCATGCCCACTTGATGTTTGGATTTGCTCTCCTCTCTCTTCTCTAAGCAGGCTCAAGGATACAAGAGTCTTTTTGCTCCCAAGAGAGATTAGTATTGCTCCCTTAAAAGGAAGTAGTTGATGTTTAAATTCTCTACTACGGTAGATACCCTTTTCACCTATCTGGAGTAAGGCCTGCCAATTTCAATCGTATCACAGGAAGCACGACCCAACAACCCAGACACAGCATACTTGTTACATTGACTATGAAGTTCCTTTCAACAAGACTCAATTTTCAAGTGGTTTGAGTTCTTGTCAGATTAGATTGTTTTAGTAAATAGCCAGTCTCAGATTAATTACACTGACATGCCTATAAAGGGGAAAACAGCATCTTACAGTACTGAAAGCAAAAATTTCCTTTTTCCTCAGGTTATCGTCAAGCAATTTTATTTTTTAAATGAGCTAACTGAAACAAAACTATTGCCCAAAATTTCTAACTCAAAGAAACACGGACTATAAGCCACAAGCTCAGGTAGGAACCTTCTTCTTTCTATTCACAGAAAATTAACAGGAATAAGATCCTCGAGCTAAGCATGACTGAAAATAAACCACAACTAAGATTTCTGTGTAGATCTATTTCTGGTAAACACTTCTGAGGTGCCATTTTCCTTTGTACTGCCAAAATAATTTCTGAGACTATGTTAAAATTCAGATCAAGATCAGGAAGAGAGATAGATGGTGAAGATTTTTAGAAGCTTTTAAACAGAGACTGGGCAATGACCTGTATAAAAGGTAGACTTTTGGTTAAAAATCTGGGAATTACACAGCTGTCTCTGGAGAGGACACCGCTGTATCACCGTAAATCATCAAACACTTCCTTACTTGTATGGCAACTCTTGCTGCTGGTATGATTTCTTCTACCCTAATGGAGGATCTATCAGACACAGAGAGCTGTCGGTACGATGACTTCTCAGGTGTTCCACAAATGGACATTTGCCTGCTGGCTTGTCGGCTGACATTCCGGAAGGGGCGCGAAGACAATGCTTCTACCCCATCTTTAATGAAATCCTCATCCAGTAAGGTAGGCATTGTCTGGCCAACAAGCAAGAACCTACATTCACAGAACAAAAACGTCAGGCTTATTCTTGAATGTTCACAGCAAATGAATGAAACGGAACTCAAAGTACCGACTAATCTTAAATATTACAAGATGCACTCTAAAAGCCAAGAAAGCAGCACTCGCTCTAATGAAAGGCAATTACATACCTTGCAAGTTGCAGGCAGATGGAATAAACTCCCTGTCTTGTTTCATAGTCTACTTCTGAGGGGATGGAATCTCTCTGCATGACATTCACCACCAAACTTAAAAACAAATCAATAAGACTTGGTTTGAAAATGTTTTACATCAGGAAAGAGCTCCAATTAATTTATCTCTGCCCTTCCCTCCTCCTATTCAGTTAGCTGAGTGCCAGTTACAACTGCCAAACCAGCACCTTTGGAGACTAACATCCCCATTTTCCTCTCCTACATCTGCAGCTGGAAGCTTTCTGTACCTGCTGGAAAACGTTTCAGGATCTACAGGGTAGGAGGTGGTGGAAAGCACTACCAAGAGCAACATAGGCGTGATAAATCTGATACAAGCCCAAGCAGTATTGCCAGGTCTTCCAAACCACTCACACCATGCCTCACAACTCTTATCCGAAGGGTCTGAATTTTCAATACTGTAACATTTATTTTGGTTCCCACTGCACGACCTATGCTTTGACTGCTTAAAATGTCCACTGGTATCCGTGCAGGACATAGTGTAATATACACACTTGCAAATTTTAAGTTAAACACTTCAGTGCTAACTTATCCAAATATCAGCTGCCTTAGTAAAAGCTGCACTTCACGACTTATCTGTGCCTAACTTTATTCTGGGGTTTAACGCTTACTATTGTAGCTTTTACAGTAGCTTTTCAGATACTGGGTAATGAAAAAACAGTTCCTTCCTCTGAAAAAGAAGCTGACAGGTGTATTAGTGCACTACAGTGTGGAAATCAGAAACTACACAACTGCTAACTAAATGAGTGTTATAAATTGAGTCAAGATTTTGAAATCTAACCTCAAACCTCCTGCTCTGAGGAAGTTTTCACAGAAAGACTTGGCACAGTTTCTTGCCATTTCATCATCTGCAGTTGGCATCAGCTTGGAGCTCAGTACCTAAAATAAAGTAATAAATAAGCCACGCTGAAACCCTCTCCTCCTCTGAGTATTCTTCATCTGCTGAAGGTTAAAAGTAGAACACAAAATCCACTACGAATGAAGTGATTAACAATACACTTACGACAAGCTGTAGTCGGTAAAGAGAAATCACATAAAAAGTACTCAGAACAACTATGGCTATTAAAGTTATTTATTCTGTATTAAAGGGCATTTTTTCTCATTGCCATATACTTGTTAACAGAAAGGATAAAGCATGTACTGTAGCACATGAAATTATGTCGTCAGGCTCAGCTGGTGCTCCTTAAGCTTTCTCCTTTCTAGCTTTTCGCTTGACAGTATCCCATAAAACACCCTACAGATGGCTTACTTATTGATTCATACCTTCTGAAACATAACCATAGTTCTATCATTGGGTTTTCTTGGTAAAAGACGGTCCAGGTAATCCTAGAGGCCTTAAGAACACCACCACTGTATCAACCTTCCTGTTTTACGTCAGCATGAAAATTCACAGAATGCAATTATGCTCAGAAACGCAGCCATAAAGGAAGTCTGTGGTCTCCGTGGGTCAGATCTCATGTACATTTATAATCAGTTTCACTTCCTTTTACATGAAATAAGAACAAAACACCACCTAAACAAACAAACAAAACTCCCAGCCCCTCCCAAAACCCCAGAAAACCCCAGGAGATATTTACTCTCTTGAACAGTCTCTTTGGCAGGTACAGGCAACAATGCTGCATGTAAAAAACCAAAATACATCTCTTCCAGGTTCACAGGTCAGAGAACGGTTTATAGAGTTCCAGGCATTTTATCACAACACTGCATGACATAACTCTCAACGTCTGCAATGTTTAATTGACATCTCTTTCATAAGCTCTGCAAATTTCTTGTGCACATTTTTTCAGAAAGCAGTTCAGACCACTTCCCATATTTTCAACAGATCACCAGTTGAGGGGATAAAAAAAGCACATCATTCTTTTTCTGACAGAAATCATCTTCCAGTTGGCTTGACTAGACTTGAGGAACAAGTCCACTCATATCATTTACACATCTAATCCAATTTACCGCTACTCATCCCTTGCCAGAAAAGCAGGCAATTTATTACTTGCTTTTATTATTTTCTCTGGCACAGAAGCAGCAGATAAGTGTCTCATCATGCTGTAATATAACTTGCCAGCTCAACAAGATACCCTTGCTGTGATATGTTAAACTTTTTGCTTTCAGTTGTAGAACTTGTCAACATATTTTGAATACATCATCAAATATCTTTCTTTCCAGCTGTTCAGAAAAGGAGGGGGAATCCCAACGCTGCAGCATGATGACAGCACAGGAAGAGCAAGAGCTAACATCGTACTGCAGAAACCCAAAGGAAAGCAACAAGAAAATTCCTACAGTCATCTCAGCACATGCCAGGAATGAAAGAGAGTAACTTTGTCCACTGTTTTTGAAGCTGCTGACAACGGGTCCTCCAACTTCAAGTCTTTCAAACTGTATCTGTAAAGAGTCCTTATAAACAGTGGAACCTGTGAGTAGAACTAGAAACCATCCAGCTTCCTAGAGTGCACAGATGTGCCTTAACAACCACACCAGCTGAACTCTTATGCTCCTTTAAAACCGATGCACTGAACACTTGGAAAGAACCTTTTCACAGGGTCCAATCCAGTGTTCTGGGTAAAGAAGTTAAACAGAAGTATACTTAAAGATTAAAAAAACCCCACAACTGTATGAAATTCACCCTTTCATATTGAATTAAGAAAAGTCAATCAAATTAAGCAACAGTTCCCATTAATTTTTAAAAGAACCAAATTTTAAAAAAAATATATATATACACTAAAAATCACATATTCAGAGTTTTAGGAGATTCAAGCAGGGATTTTACCCAAACAGCAGGACCTTGATGTTTCTTTGCTCCTCTCCACTGACTTCAGAATACTCTTCCGACCTTGCAAATCACCAAAAGAGGAGTCTTGCTTCGCAGTAAAGCCTCTAGGTAGGAACATCTAACCCCTTTCATGCTTTGTAGAATGCATCACATACATAAAAGCAGACTATGACATGACACTTGCATTTTGCATAATGACCCTATCATGCTGGACTCCTGCCCAAGAAACATACAACCACTTAAAACCTTAGTGCTCAGAAACTCAAGTAGAAAGAAGTAAATTTGTCTCCTTACCTCTAAGTTGTAGAGCACTCTGAAGGTTGACATGCCTGGAGCAAAAGATCTGAAAAGACTTTCTAGTATTGAACTAGCACTGGGCTGATGTTGGTGTTTTGAAGACAAGGATGGTGATTTTGAAGACTGAGAACTTGATTCCGATAGCAGCGTTTTCTAGGAGGAAAAAGCCACAGAAGAAATATTTCAAGACTACTGCACTTTGTTGTACTTCCTATAATCCCTCTTGCCTCCAGCTCATTTGAAATACATCAATAATCCTTAACGTGAGTATTATTTCGCAGGAGAGTTTCAAACCCTTCCCCAATTACAAATTACGTGAGAGGGAATTTAAGACACTTGGTAAAAAAATCCCTTTGATTAAGATCATCAAGATTAGTTATTGTTTAATCTCTACCTTCCTTCCCAGGGAATCAAGCTGATCAAGAGCCTCCTGAATAGCTGGGTCAGTGGGAATCAAGAGCAGAAGCTTCCTCACTCGCAGTGTTATCCTGAAAAGTTATCAGAAGTTACTTGCAGAAAATAGGAGTCAGCCACGCTGTGGCTCAGTGGATGCCTACACACTGTGAAATAAGTAGATATTCAAACTTGGCAGTGTGAGAGTTCCTTTAATATTCAATAACCATTTTGTTTGTTTACCTTGGCTCCTCTAGATTGGCAAGCTGGTAAAGCATATCAAACACATTGCACACGAGAGCCATGACTACTCCAGGGAGGGATTTCTCCTGAGAATGAAGCAGAGATACAAAGGTCTTTTTCTCCCGTCTCTGTTGCAAGTAATTTAAGAGAGCTCTTCACTGAAGCAACTGACCCAGATGTCAATCTGGCCCGTAAAACCCCAGACTAAGACAACATTTGAACTTCTACATCATCCCATTTTCCTTTCAAGAGTAAATTTTTGTGGGCAACTGTTAGTTAGGGTTGACACACAAAGCAGACCAGGAGTGGTCTGAACATGCTAGTTGGTGCTTCTTCGTTTATTCTCATACTGCAGCAGCTTTACTCGCATTGGAAATCTGTAAATCTCTCCCCTCAACAAATACACAAGGTCAAAATCAAATCATACAGGTCTTATTTGTTTAAAATAAACTGTAAAGATTAATAAACAGCAGCTACAACAGGTGATGGAATACAGACTATAAAGCCCAACGTGAATACATAAGGCAATTGTGTATTTAAATGTTTTGTTTCAATTGCAGTTTGAAAGCAACAGAGACTACTGAAGACTAGATACTCAAGCTGTTATGAACAGCTTCTGTCTCACCTTACTGTACTTGTTCCAACCCCATCTGTGTCTCTCTCAACTCTCCCCCCTCTGAGAAAAGTCTGAGGGAAGGTTTGAAGCTATTATGCTGTACCTGTTCCATGGCATAGGAGGAACTAAACACACTGCTGCTGTTGCTGGAACTGGTTGAGGAATCTGCAGAGCTCCCTGATGGAGTCCCACTTCCTGATGTTTTCACTGTAAGGACTTGTTCATCAGAGAAGCCCAGCTGGTGGAGTAGTTTTTGATCTTTGTTTACAGTTAGCTGCAAGAAAATATTTATCATTTAGCTCTGCAAAAGAGAATTTCACAAAGAATGAAACTTCTTTGTAGATAACATACCAGGCTGTCATTGGCAAATATCTGTATATTATCCACAGGCGAATTCAACATCTTTGCTATCTTCCACCTGACGCTCCCTACGGTTTCATTGCTATGAGCCTGTAATATTAAACGACACTATTTCAGTCAGCCTTCTCAAGCAGTTAGTTCCAAAAGAAAAACAGAAAAATCTTCCATTAAAGTCTTCCTGCTCCTCTGCATAGCATGGTAAAGGTATTGTCCTCAAAAGAGACGGACAGGGTAGGTAGAGCAGCAGTAGAAGTCCATCAGTGACAGAAAGCAAACAACTTTTTCCCACCGGCTATGATGATGAAAATACATTTAGCCTACAGACACTTCCACTACAGTAGCCTTATGCACACTTTTAACATTTTCAAACAGAGTTTTCAAGCTAAGTGAAGTCCTTAAAACCAACTTAATCTGTTCAGTCCAGGCATCAAAAAAACCAAGAAGAGCTATGTGATTAACACCACATGACACGCAACCCACACATCCATACCTCTATGGTGAAAGTATCTTTGGTAGACTCGTATGTAACATTAAGTGTTAAAAGATGTCCATGGAAAGAGGCACCATGAGGTAGAATAGTTCGGGGAACAGAGTATAGGTCCTACAGGAAAAGAAGGATGACCATAAATAGCACCCTTGAAAACCAAGACATTTCTATGACGGTATGTAACAAAGTTACTGGAGTTGCATAGCTTTGAGTAACTTTTACTATTTTAAATAACATTGAAAGTTGTATTCTTAGCCTCGCCTAGTAAGAAATTACTTATCTTACCTCTATGGTTATCACATAGCGCTCCGCCAACAGCAGCAGTCTCTCAATTATTACAAGTTTAGTTGACCTAGAGATAAACATTGAAAACAAGAGTAACTTGTCTCAGATATTAATTTTCAACGCCCACGGGTAGCCAGAATGAATTAGCTGTTTTCAGACATAACTCTTTACATTTGGAGTTATTTCGGTTGCAATTAACTAGGAAAACAGCCCAAGAAGCTTGTGTTATATTACTTGACATGTCACCAGCTTCAAAAGCAGCGTCATGTTTCTCAAGGTCCCACCCTGCACTTGTATGTTTAACCTACACGTTTAGATATGTGTAAGTTCAGCTAGAGGATGAAAAACCATCCTTTTCTCTCCCAGTGAAAAAAAACCCAAAGCAAACCCTGCTGCTGAAGAAATACTACATAACTAATAGGCTAGTAATAGCCTGTCGGCTTTTTTTGTGGTTGGGTGTTGGTTTTTTTTTGGAATGTTCAGTTGAGAAACCACCAGAATATACAACCACTGACATTGAGAATTATAATTAGCACTCAAAATCATGTGGGAAGTAGCTGGGAGCAAATGCCTACTGTCACATTTACTGTTTTACAAGCAGGCGTACCTGTAAGGAGACTGAACCGATGTTGCTACTGTAGGCATAGCAGTTGCTGTAAGCATTTTTGTAGCTCTTGTAACAGCATGTGTTAATGTCGGACCACCGAGTGCAGAGCTGGCTGCCTAGAAAACAAAGCAGAGCGGAAGTGCTGGTTTACTTGGACAATAAGTATGGTCTGGAGAGCTAAGAGGACAAGAAATATAAGGCAAACATTTATTTCCACAAAGACAAGATTATTGATGATAACTGACTAGCTCAATTATTCTAATTCTAAGATATGACACTGAAACAGGAAGCTGGTACAAGTACAATGAAAATTTGTCATTTACCTCTAATCGTGTGTAGCAATCAGCAATGAATTTCTTGTGCAGTGATACCGAATCCTAAAGATGAAATGTGCAAATGAATTAGAACTTAAGCTAAAATCACGAGAATTACTCATAAGCTGACAGAACCCACCAAATGACACATTTTATCACGCAGAGTATCAAGGCTCTATGAATGTCGAAGCACTTTATGTACAAACGTAAGCCTACCTTTTTTAGTCTAGGAGTTAGATTAATATAGCTGTAATTTATGATCAATTGAATAGCTTCATTGGCAATTTCTTCATCAGGTGACTCCATTGCAATCTTCCAAATGAAATCCATTCCTATTAATTCCAGTTTTTCTACACTCTACCCAAGAAAGAACAGTAAAACATGACTGAATTTATTCCACAACAGTGAAGCTGCAGCAAAGCATCTTTCAACTGAATCTTAAGAATTTTCTTTTCCAACACATTGCTAAGCTTTGGCACAGTGTCAAGTGAAATCAGTAGTTGTGAATTTGTATATTTATACTAGAAAAAGAAAAAATTGTTTACAGTACAGGCGGATAAACAAGTTCCAAAGAACACAGTCAAGCCAACTGAAAAATTAAAAACTTCAAAAGCATGGAGAAATTTAATCAGGAATGGAATTTGTTTCACAAAAGTCAACATGATAATTAGCCACATAATAAATCATCATAAAAGTTACTATACTTGAGGAAAAAAAATATGCACTTGAAGTAAATAAACTCTCTGTGATAAAGATCTAAAATGCCTATGAAAAACTACTTAACATATAACCATTAATTTAGCAAAAACATTGAAGGATCATGGAGTTAAAATAATTGCAGGTTCGAATTTGAGTATGATAAGCCTAAATGTCTTGTGAAACATGTAATAATAATAATAAAGGAATATTTCCTTGCTAGAGAGAAGTAAAAAATGTACACTAGAATTCATGATTATTAACAAAAAAAGTAGTCCACTCATTCCTCCTGCAAAGTTTTAGAATCTACATATTAGCTTCCAGCTAAAAATTGCTGAATTTTAACTGCTGTAATTCTGGACTTGTAGCTTCAGAATTTAACAATGTTAATGCTAGCAAGATGATCTGCGTATTAATGCAAACATGACCATGTCCAACAATTTTTAAAGAATTCTTGTCTCACCTCCTCCCATCCCCAAGATGCCACAGGTAGCAGAAAAGAATGAACTTGCCAGAACACTCACCAATTGAGTTCCTTGCCTCTTCAGTCGATGGTCACACAGGTTCACATTTTCAAAGAAAGTCTTAAATAAACTAAAACCTAAGAGTGAGAAAAGGTGCAAGCTATTTATTCGGGCCAGGTTAAGTTTCTATCTTTTTTTTAAAAAAATGAAGACATCAAGTACAGGAGACGATCTTTTCCCTCAACAACTCACAAAACTCAAAATGATAGAAAATGATCCCTCTGTTAGATTGATTCACAGATCACTTGGCTATTTAATTTGAAGGCTTAGGAAACAAATTTCTGGTATATCTCTCAAAAGCAAAGCTGTTGCCCAAAGTCATTTTCTTACCATTCATAGTAATTTCATATGACTCCAGTTTAAGAATTTTCTCTTTGAAGAGCTGTTGCTGTACATCGCTCTCTAGATCATGCTGTCCTTTTGTAAACCACTCAAAGCACATCTGTGAAAGGCAGGTGTATTTTTACCCCATTGTCACGGCAAATATTTCAGCTTTATACAGCACTGGCAAACAATGTCAGATACTACAGTAACTCATCTTACAGAATTTTTATCTACAGCAAGAGGTTCAAAATCTAATCTCCTAGTAACCTCACATATTATACAAGCTGTACTGCAGCATCAGAGTACTTCATCTTCACAGCCATCTTTCACACAAATCACGCTGAATGTTTTTAAGACTCCACAGACTTGCACCTATCCCTTTTCAAATCAACATCCATAAAGGTGCATTTCATCTCCTGGCCAAAGTTCCCCCTTCAGTCAAATTTAACACTAAAATAGCATCCCGGTCGTAAGTGAACACGTAACAGTGGCTCCATTGACTCACACAAAGCACACGAATGAATTATTAGCTCGTGTCTGCATTTCACAAGTCTCAAACACCCGTGCTATTTACAATCCATTGAGATTCACTCTGCAACCACAGACGCCAACTTTTAAAGTTTTCTTACCTCTCGATCTAACTCACAAACATCTTGGCCAGTTACAAGGCATTCCCAGATCTCCCTGGCACGATTCCAGCCCAAATAAAGGGTGGCTTCTTGCAGAAAAAATGCCAAAAATTTTAGATGCGCCTCCAAATACTAAGAAAGAGAAAACAAAAACCTCAAGCTTAAGACTTTTCTTTCTGAAACAAGAACCCTGAGCATTCATTTTGCTTTTTTGCAAACTCATTTGTCAAATAACAGTCCCCTTTGCAAAGTCTTGAAAACACAAATTATTTCTGCAGTGAGATTTATTTCTATTTTACACCATTTTTAACATTACTTCTTTTTGATTACCTGCCTAGAAAGGGATATTGAAGTGCCTTGGATTTGCTATTATTTTCCTGATATTGATATTATTTGACACTAGTCACTAAGTCACAACTAGTGTGGAAAAAATAATTATCAAAACCTTAGCTCAAACTGTTACGCGCTATCTGTGTGCATGGCTTCCAGGTCCTAACTAGCAAATCCGTTTCAGGTTTCAAGAGTTTCACACCAAAGTCAAATGTATAGACTCTATAAGGGTAGTTGAACTGAAGCTGGTGAAGAAGCTGAAAGCTTCTAGCTCTCGACCAATTTAAAACTTTGCTAAGAAGCCTGTAGATTGTGAAGGGTACAACAAATCCTATTACATAAGTGACAGAACTATAAATAAAAACTAGTGTAATTATTCACCAGAGACAACATACATACCGGTGAATTCCAAAAATAAAACATCACCTCATCTTTTGCAACTTGGTCAGTGATACACTAGATGTCATGTTTTCAAAAACCTAGGGTAGTAAGAAATTCAAGGTTCAGTACCTCCCGGTAAGTGTATCGCCCATCCACTAACGTCGCTCCAACAAGTCCACCTGGACCTGCCACAGACGCAGCCAAACGGTGGCATGATATTAAGCTTCCTGTCACCAATTTCACGATTTCAAAGTTTTTCTTTAAATCTTGAATAATGCTCTTGGCAGAAAAAAAAAAAAAGAGGGGAAAAAAAAGAGACAAAAAAAAAACATCGAGAAAAAATGGTTTTTTAAAGAAAATACATCAACAGGCACATGCACACAGCGATTTGCTCTTCTATAGACATGTGGCCATTCTCATAAGGAGTAATGTTCTCCCTGACCCGAGTCAGACGTAGCCCTTCCAAATATTCAAAGCCCCCTGACGTGTTTTCAGCATGTGCCAAAATACACGTGCAGCAGACTGCAAACAAAGTCCCACACCTCCACTCAGCCACCGTATAACACATGTGACTTGCTGGTATTTTAGCCTGTTTTCCAAGAGTCGACGTCAATCGAATTACAAAGCAGCTGGTCTAAACATTAGCCATTGTTCACTTCTTAACAGAGACATGGCTGCTAATTATTCTACAAAAAGCTGAGAATATAAATCAAGCCTGACACAGCAAGCAGGTTTATACACATATACACACACGCACACAAAAATGGACAGCACACAACACAGCATCTCTGCCTGAATAGTTTATGTTACATCACTCAATTGTACTTGTCAAAGTGGTTTTTTTTGTGTTTGATTTTTTCTCCTCATTTCCAAATTCAAACTTCCATGTTCTACAAAAGCAGAGCCACACAGATGTAAACAAGGACTTTAAAAATCATCTTGGCATATATTCTTACCTTGTCTTGTTTTTGGTAAGTTTGCTTAATAAATGAACGTGTGATTTCATGGAGCTGACGTAATGCTGGCACCACCCATACAAATTGAGGATTATTGTGCTGGGACGACTAGTAGTAGGAAAGGTAGAAAAAATTACACATGTGTACATGTTCAACAGCAGATTAATTTTCCTCTTAGACTCCTAGAAGCCTAACAATTTTTATTTATGTCACAGTTTCAAAACAACAGCTACTAGCTCTGAAAGCTTCAGTTACTTGTTCCTGGTCCCTTTCCAAACACACTCAAGGTTCCTTTTCTCCACCTTCTACAAGAAGTCTGTTGGCACATGCATGTGCCCTTTTGCTATCCTTATTATTAAGCCCAAAGTACCATCTACTTGCAAGAAAACATGCAAATTAAGTAGACAAGAAGAACTCAGTTGCATCAGAACCACCACCTTCCTACATTATGGGAGATGAAGCAGGCCTGTTAGAGCGTAAAAGGGCAAATCCAGTCAAATGATGTTACTTATTGCTAAAGCAAGAATAATAGAAGAAAGAACCTGAAAAGCCACTTCAGAGACGAGGAAAAAATCTGATTGGTGCTGCAAGGAGCCCTCCGATAGGAAGCAAAGGATACTTAAGCTGCATTTAGAAAGAAATCCTACAAAGAAGAACCCTCCTACCTCATTGTTAGAACTGCTCATCACTTTTCTGGGAGGCTTCATTTTCTGTAAAGTTTGACCACACAAACCAGCACTGAGGTTGTTTGTTCAAAGAAGTGACGTCTGGTTTAAATACTGACAACAACCAACACTGCCTACACACCTGGAGAGATTAAAGTAACCTGCCCATAGCAGAGAGATCTCTGTGGAAGTCTCCCCTCATGTATTGGAGAAAGCTGCCTTAATATCACAGTCCCTCCCGATTTGCCTTCATTTCCCATAATTGAAGGGAAATTGGAAAACTATATGTTTCTTACAAGTTTGCTGTATGGCTACCCCAATCCATTCCAGCCTACAATTAGAGCTTTCCAGTAGTGTTTGCCACTGCAGCACCTCCGCAAAGGCTCTTGCCAGAACGTAATTCAAAAGAACGCAAGAACAGGTGTCCTGGTTAGAGCTAAACAGAACCAGTTCTGTTCAGAGATTTTGACTTCTCAGTTCAGTCTCTTCTTAAAGGCTGCACTTCCTGAAGTCAGCAGCGTGTCTTTGCAGACAGTGTCTGCTACCAGCAACGCTAACACCTGATGCTGACAGTTACTGCCTGGGACTGGGATGCAGAAAGGCTCTTGGCTTACACTTAGTCCTACAGTGCCCAAGGCCACTGCTGGCTCTTGTGTGCCACGCTGGGTGCTGGGTAGTAAGAGGGGTCACAAGGAAGTAAAAGGTTGCACCTCTGGGGAGTTACACACAGGCCAGGTGACCAGCAAGAGTATTCCATTCCATATATGTCACGTTCAGCTGACACTGCTAATGCGCTTTCCTCTATTCCTACAGCAGCAGAGTGCAGGCCAGTTTGCTTTCACCTGGAGGGGCATGACCACCCCAGGGGTGGAAATCATTTAATAGTCCTACGTGGCCTGTACAAAAATCTAATAGTGAATATTGCTGCTACTCAGACTTCCACAGTGACCACTGCCACTACTCAAACTCCAATAATGAGCCTTTTTTTTTTTTCCAATCTGTAAGTCTGTCTGCCTCATTCCCTTTTCCTTCCCGTTTGTGGAGGGAGAGGGGGTTAGAGAGCATGTGTCTGTGTTTAGTGGCCAGCCCAGCCCTAACCCACGACAACAGGAAAGCACAAGAGAAGATCTGAAAGAAGAAACTGCAAGTTTTACAGACATGGAGTTTGAAATCCATATTCATAAACGTGCACACAAAAGAAGTGTGATCAGTATCAAGGAGCAACACTATGCCATCTAATCCTCTACAAACGCTGCAGAACATACAAGACCTAATTTATTATGAAAGAAATGAATGAAAAAAGTACAAGCCTTTTTATTTAGAGCATACGTTTCAGGCTGGAAAAAAACTAAATACAGGAGCATTCCGGCAGACCTCAAGAAATACTGCCTGCTACATGAACACTACAGGATAGAATATAGGCAGTCTTTCAAGCCATGCACATCTCTGCTGCTGCCAGGAAACATCTTAGTACAGGCAGCTGCAGGAATGGCCTCTTTGTGTTAGACAAAAAGAGTTGGAGTGTTTTATTAAAATACAAAACTACTACAATTTAAATATCGATTTGCATTTTGAGACTTAACAGTCATGCCAGAACACATGCTTAATTCAAAGAACACTAATCTAGGCTTTTCACATGAAAGGGACAGTTAAAATACTGACATACCTTTATAGTGGTTCCATTTGCAAATTCTAACCTTGGGCCCATCCTGGTAGTTTCCCATAAACTGATCACTCCTTGTGCTGAAAATTTGCTTAAAACAAAGGCAAGAGACTTACTATGAGTCTCATGGTCAACAAACCGGCTCACACAAAGCCTACCCCTCTCAAGGATTCCCCAAGGTAAGAACTTACAGATGGGACACGCAATTTGTGCATCTTGAAAGCAAGGGCAACACCAAGGCTAGATAAAATTTCACTTTGGAAAAGAGAAAATAATAAACCAACCCTCTTAATATCCTCTATGCATTTGATGATGTAGCTTCTTTTGATTGCCTCTTTCACTGCATAGGCATCACTGAGGATTGTCAGATGTTCCTCCAAGGCCTGCTGAATAAGACTACACGGTAACGTTGGAAGATGAGCAAGTTCCCAAAGCACCTCCAGAACCTAGAGGAACAATTGCAAGATTAGTCAGGACGTAGGAAGAACAGAGACTAGCAACTTAATATTTAAAGAAAGAGAAAAACCCCAACAAACCAAACCAAAAACGTTCACGTGCCTTTCCAGTGGTTGTCTCCACCCGTGCTTCTCGACCGATGCGCCCTATCAGGCTCAGCAGTTTCTGTCGCACTCGATCACTCTCTGTCTCCCAGCTCTGTACAGCAAAGAAATAACTTTCACTATTAAAGCAGCAAGCACTGTTAATCTGTTAAGTCTGAAGTGTACACAAAACCATCATTTTTTTCTGCAGAAAAATCAAAATAAAAACAAGTATGTTTCTGCCATGCACATTTCCTTACTTTTGTTACTGGGAGTTACAGTATCAGTTTGCCCAATTCTTTTTAAGAGATTAAATCTCACTTTAAGTACCGCAGCGCTGTCTGTATAACATACTTAAAATCTAAGTCAAAGAGCAACACAGGAGCAGATCAGGCTTTTGGGTTAACAAAAATATTGGCATTAAAAGGATTTTATACCTATCTGGAATATATAAATGTATTCAAGGTAGGCTGTACATTCTCTTTAATTCTCTTCCTAAGGAACGTAAATTCACATGCAGACTTACCTTTTGGATTAAAACAAATAAATGATTGAGCTGATCAGAACTAAACTTCACAGCAGCTGCAGCAATAATGGTATGTATGTTTTCAATCACAGTGGAGGATTGTCCCGACTGAAAAGAGGAAGGAAAACACAAGCAGGTAGGTCTTTATACCAAATGAGATAGAGGAAAATCGTCATGTAAGCATTTTCCTATTATTCATGAGAAAGAAATGAGAAAGAAAATCAGCTTTTGACATGTTAGAAACACAAGGTTAAGAATAACTGCCTCTGCTCCTCATTTCACTGTCAGAGAGGTCTTTGGAAATAATTCTAAAGCAGGAGAGAACAACAGCAGCACACACCACATGCCCGCAACACGAACATCCCCATTTCCATTGCTCTACTGAGTTCATGTGAGGGGTGTGCTCCATCTCCACCACTCTTTAAGGCTTACTCAAAAGTGAGCAATACAAAAATCTCCTCCCACACTGATGGGAGCACCATGGTAACAGCCCGAAGGTGGGGAGGAAGGACTGCATTTTATTAAAAAATACAAGTGAGTGAGCTAGAATCACGCTTCATCCGTACTGAGGATGCAGGACTTGCTCCCATAGCTGCATGTACTGAGGACCTGACCACAGCCAGTGAGTTCAGTTGAACTTTTAACACTTGGACAAAGAAGAAAAACATTTTCTACAGCAGAAGAACATGTTTCTGGTCAAAATTTCCACGTCATTTGCAATAAGTATTGAAACCACCTTTCCTACACAGCAGTAAGTTGAATATACATGAAGTAAATGTGAAAAGATGACTTGTCGGACAGCTATATGTATGTAGAGGAAGTTAAATGGGAATTCATACAGCTTGAGCCCACTCTCCTTAAAGTCACAGTCAGCTGCATTCAAATTTACACCTCCAAACATGTAAATTAATATCCTTTGGCATGGTCTTTGGGCTAGACAACCACTCTGTCACCTATTTCAGGCTGACAACCTCTTATTTCAAGTCAAATATTTTTGCACCCCCTTAAGACTTGTCGCAAAGAACTGAACTTCATCATAATATTTAACAGCTGTTAAAGGAGCAGCTGTACAAGGAAGTGCCAGAACACTTGATTTTAAATGCTAAAAGAAGGAGAAGAAAGCTTTTGCATTAATTACTGTTAAAATCTCAACACCTCCACTCTGCAATAGAGATCTGTATGCTATAAAAGAAAAAAAAATCCCACCATTAGCCAGGTGCTTTTAGACTCTCTTACGAAAGCAATAATTCTAGTCTTGGTCACTCACCTGAATTCTCCAAATTTTAGTGAGCTCATCTAAAGATAATTTACTGCCCAGCAGTTCAATAATTCCCTTTATACGATCACAGTATTGCGCTTGGTCTATATTGCCTATCAAACAAAGAAAGGTAACTAAGTATATTTAAAACAGCATTAGATACATTAAACACATAACAATAAACAAATTCTTGTAAAAGAAGAGAGAAGAGCAAAGCTATCTCCACTTGAAAATTCTACTGTTACAGACAAATTATCAGTTCAAAGGCAAAGAACGAGGCTCCTTCCATTTTTCCTTCATATATCTGACAGCAAGGTGTTATTACGTGGAAAAAGAAACCCCACCTCTTTTCTTTCTTTTCTAGAGGCTAACAATACACACAAGATAAACTGAGAATAAAAACTCCAGGAAAGCAGAAAACATCTGCACAGATGTCAAATACAGACCTAGATGATAGTAGCAGGGTTTTCCTTACTCTGTTCCTAAGATGACAAAAACTTTTAACTCCTTTATTAACCGTGTTTCATTGAAATGTATTGAAAGGGACAGATGAAATTTTTAAACTTAAAGACATTCAAAGTGTGTGCCAAAAGTTTTTGTGGAAGTGCTTACCTTCTAAAGCAATCGACAGGACAGAATTTTCTACTAACCAATTTAGTAATCGGTCTGTATCTATTGCATTCTTCACCGACTTGGATACAGTGCTGTCTTCTATTAATTTTGTTACCTAGAAATTGCACAATGTAAGATTCTAGCAATGCTTCCTACATCCACCATATACGCACAGAATGAAATCTATTCAAAAGGCTTACTACGAAGCTTAAATGTTAACCTTAAAATATTTTGAACACAGGAGATGTCTGCGTTTTTTTTTGGTTTAGTTTGTTGGGTTTGTGGGGCTTTTTTTGTTTGTTTTGTGCTTTTGATTTATTTTTTTAATTTCTTTGTATTTTAGTAAGTTGATTAAAGGCAAATTCCTAGCCAGAAACACTCTGTCACTCTCTGATGCAGTAGATACTTATTCTCACTCTGACACAGAAAAGCTGGGCTATGCTGCCAGGTGTATTTATACAGATATACCAGAATTAGGTTATCTCAGGCTTCTGCTTGTTACACTTAAATCAGTGTCCTATTTTTTATCCAATAAAGAACAGATACAGGCTCCTTGCTTTAGGGAGAAAGAGTATATTTCTGCTAAAGCCTTCAAAAGCTGCACTTTTATAACTTCACCAAGGATACATGGCATTTATGATTAAGAATGAAACAACAATGAGGTTTTATATCTCAATTTTCCCATAAACAAACAAGCAAAAAAGCACAAAAGCGGGACTCTAAACCATCTTACCATGTCTGCACACTAAAAAAAAAAAATAAATGCATCCTTGCGACACTTAAATTGTACCAAGTTCTGGTAGGAAGAGCTGAACGAACAATTTGATACTTAAAACTACAACTCCCATTAAAAATAGACTCTTTTCTTCTATTACTTAGGTATAAGATTCCAGTACAAAGAGCTCTGGTGTGTAAACTTCAGCTCCAAGGTGCTACTACAGTGCCCATATACAACCATAATAAAAAAGTACAATATATAGTGCAATGACCTGATACGACCGGACTGAGACACTAATCTCGGATTAAGTCCTGTTTGTTTTTTTTCTCCCCTTTTCTCTCAATGAAAGGGGGAGAGAAAAGGGCTATCTCACAGAATGCTCTGAATTATCAGGGTTATCTCAGAGTGAATACTCAATGAATAGTTTAAGACCACTGCTCATAAATCAACCTGAAATTGCAGTTCTTAGAATAGATTCAAATTATGTTTAGTTGTTTTCTCACTGGGAGGCCACAGTCCTTGCAGCAGCTACTAATATTACAAACAACTCCTGTCATTAACTTGTTTTGATATTTATTACGAATTGAGCTTTTGCTAAGGCAACATGATTTGTCAGGAAATATTGTGCCATCACGTTTTTTTTTTAAGGTTGTGGTTTCAGCGGCTTACTAACAACTCATCCCACCTACACACTTGCACATGCGCCGCACGCACACATGAAAAAGCAAACCTACTTCTTTGAGGGAATTCATTTTTGCACTGAAGTGAGGAGATTTTAACATGCGCAACAGAATGTCCAGCCGCAAGTCATCTACCGCGGTTACCAAATCAGGTTGGAAGCGCATACACAGCAGTTTGATACCAGACAAGAGTTCAGGAATACTGACTAGTCTCTGTTTAAAAAAAAAAAAAAAAAAAGAAAAAAATAAAAAAGGGACAAATGGAAGCATTGCTATTTTTGCTATTCAGACTTCAATGACTCAGAAAGAGTAGGTTTAGTTACCAAATACGGACTGATTAATCTATGAAATGCAGTACCATGTACATATGGAAGTAGTACTTGTACACTAGAAATTTTAAGACAGTAAAACCTTTGGTTGAAGTGGACTCTCCCGCTGCAGGTTTTATACATTAAATTGCTTCTCTGCAGTTACACAACCTATGCATACTTTCCAGTTTACAACTAACAATTTAAGTCTAAGTAAAAAACACTCAAAAATTTAATTGAACTGAATGTCACATTCAGGATAACACAGGAAGTACTCACAAGTTACATGGATATTTTATCAATGATTACCACATTATCAGAAGCAAACAGCTATTGCAACAGCATATGCATGTATGTCTTAAGAATTTAAGAGACTGCAAGACAGTAAGCATCTTCAAGTCAGAGCAGAATGGGACCAACAAAACCATATCTGACAGTAACAGCAGCAAAATATTTTAAAAAGGGTCATGACACCAGATGTCTACTGTAAAAGGTACTGAATGGAATTAGGTAAATGTATTTTCTTCTATGTCATTCAGTCAGAATTCAGAACAGACCAGTGAAAATAAAACTATTCTTCTAGTCTCCATTGCCAGCATTTCCAAGATAAACAGTAAGTCTTCCTAAATATTTAATACATAAAACATTACCTTGTCTTTCAAGTCCTTCTCTTCTACATTCTGTACATATTTAATCATTTTATGAATGACTGGATCCAGCATAGGCTAAAGGACGTGAGAAAAGGCATGACAATCATTTTATGTTTCCTGAAAACAATTCTATTACTGCAGCAAAATGAAACGCTTAGCTGAAAGCTCACAATTATCTTAGACATAAAGCACTACCTACAACAAACATAAAACTATCCTGCCAGGTATGTCCAGAAAAAGAAGCAATTAAAATAAGCTGTTGCAGACCACCATAGTACAGGTTTGCAAAAAAATAAAAATAAAAAATGCAGACACCGACTGATCTTTCAAAATGCAGTTAAAATGCATGTGCCTGTCTGACTTCCACTAACTTCTCAACTACCTCCTCTTTAAGAAGTGACTGAAAGTATTTCTTTGAATTGATAGGTTTTGATAGTGAGTACAAGTATGAAGCCTCAAGTACATTTGCGTTTTTTTGCTGTACCACCATTTTTCCAGTGCAAAATCCATGTGCTTGATTTCAGCCAGAATGCTAAACTAAAATCAAAATCCACCCGTCAGGCTAGAAGCTTTTCCCACATGCTTTACCCTGATGAAGATTAATAACAGTGGCAAAACTTCTCAGTGTTGCAGATCTAGATACGTGACTTAGAAAATGAAGGTGAAACGTTGTCTGAGGCCTCTATTCATCACCCTCAGGATGATCAGAATGGTTCCTGTACTTGATGCAATGTGAGTTTTGAAGGATTTTCGAATTTGTCACTAGGGTCACACCAACACAGTTGTAAACTAATTTTATGTCCTCTGCCTACTCATAACAAAAGCACTTTACCTGTACTACGGAAGAGTTAAGATATTCTGCACAAACTCCAAATGGCTGGACTAACGCAGAGATTGCCTAAAAGAAATAAAACAAGTATTTAGATGCGTGTATAAAAGATCTTTTCAGAGCTCATGATCGACACCTTAAAAGGCAAATGAAAATGAGGAAATTTTATCTATAAAATAATTTCCAGTCGTGTTACAAACCGATTTTGGTGTGTAAGTCCTTTACAACAACACATGGTTCAGGAAATAGATTTACTCTGCAACATACAGTAGGAGTTACATAATTTTGCCTAAAGAAAAGCCTTCCTTGTTTTCACTAATCTTAGTTCTCTCGTCATTCTGTTCAGTCTTCTCTGTGATCCCGTTTCAGTCGCAGAACCAAACAGATGGAAAAGAACACATCGCATTTTGATTGCTCTCCACAGCAAGAACTGTGGATGCAAGACTTAGGGTTAAAACCCATATGGCAAATTTCCTTCCCAAAGTATTAAGTGCGAGAAAGCTTTTGTAAATATGCTATACACCTGTCAAGATCTCTTCAATGTATGATTTTCATCTATTATCAAGAAATTAAATGTATTAAAGGTATTTGTTTCACAATGAATAATATTAAAATTGGTTTCTTCTCACACTGGATCAAGACTTGTGAAAATGAGCATGTACCACTGCAGTCAAAGGCCTAAATTAAGTGATGCTGACCCAGACTCCCTTCTTAAGCAAGCAGTTATTAATCATTAAACAAAGCCAAAGTTTCTATTGCAGAACCAGGATTTAACCTGAGCTTCTTTATTCTTCTGCCACGGTCACATATGGACCTATCTCTTTATAAAGCTCTAAATGTCAATACCCCAAGAAAATCAGCTGAATTCTCTACAAATGAAATGTCACTGAAAGCAGACTGATTTTATACCAGAGGACAAGATTCTAAATTACGTTTTCCCTTAGCCTCCTTGTTCTTCAAAGCTTGAAAAATTCTGAAGTCTCCTGAATACAGGTTAGGAAGCTAAAACTAAACAAGCCAGGCTTCATCATCGAAAATAATTTAGCAGTGTTGAACCAGTCAGTTTTTAGACACAGTTTCTGAAAAGTTGCTTAGGATTAGACAGCGTCTGTCTTCCTGATGATTTTTTTTCTTCTTAAACAATGGTTTCTATAATAAATGACACAATTTGCTTGCAGCTAAACACAGCTACAGCTCCAAGAAACAGCAAACCAAGGACACACTGGTGAATACGCAGTGAAACTAGACTGCCTGGAAGGCTGAACCTTAGCCAGAATGATACAGTAACCCTTCCTCATTTCTGTGCTGTCTCTAAAGCTGTTCAGTTAGGATTCCGATGCACAACTTCATTTGACCTCCAGTCTCCCAGCTCTGCTCCAGGGCTCTGTGGGAGCGCTGCTCTGGTACCACAGCAAAACTAAGAGCACTGCCAAAAGGGACACTACTGGTTCCACGTGAAGTGTGTAGTGGAAAGGGAGAAGGCTCGTGACAGAAGATGAACTCACCCCAAGTTCAATATCTTCTGAGTTGAGTTTGGACTGAATGGCTGAAAATCCACCCAACTCTGCAAACTGAAATAAAATAACCAGTATTACATTTGCAAACTACAGTATTTTGTCTTTTAAAAAGCTATTACAGAAAATACTCCAGTGATAGTTCCTGAGATGCCAACAAGTATCCTTTACCGTGGAACATCACATTCAACACAGGTTTTATGTTTTCATGAGAATTCAGGGGCACACTGGGGAATGTCAGGCAATTAGACCTGGTACCAGTTTAAACATTAAGTTACAAACTCTGTCTTGGGTGAAAACGGCTATAGAGAAGCAAGCTAGACCACACAGCCAGCTCTGACTGGCCTGGCACGTTTGACTGGGAAACAGCACTGCAGCCTAGGCTGAGCTCTCAACTTCCTCTAGTCACAGCTTTTATGAGGGTAAGCTGCTCAGGGCAGAAGGCAACAACACAACAAGATGTAGTCAGCAAGGCCCCTTCCCTATATGTAGGCAGCATTAAAATCTTAAACTGCTTTTGCTGTGGTTGTCAGAAAAGTGAAGAGTGGAAAATCAAGTTGGGGGAAGGGGAGAAGAAATTACATGTGAAGACAAATAAATTCAAAATGACAACAATTCTGTCTAAGTTAGATTTACCTACCCTGTTTACCAGATCCACCAGCCACCCATGAGGTTCCTTGAACAATTAAAACAGTAGGAAATTAGTAGCTGCAACATCAATGCTAAACATTTGCCTTCTCAAACAGAGATGTGGACAGACACATTCAGCTCATTAACCCACAACTCAAATGCATGCACTGTTAAGTCAAAGAAAACAGCCATGTGTTTGTAACAGCTCCTTTACTAAGCGTGTTGCTGGAGCTCTGGTGGGTTCGCAACAGCATCATCCTTTTTTGGACTCCGCCTGACATCACTGACCATGTGCTGTGGCAACAGTACACACTGTGGCTGCTGACTCACAAGCAACTCTATTTATAGCACATTAGCAGCGTGGAACATTACTAAAGAAACTTTCTCAAAGAAGCAGGTGTAGAATTGTCTTTCTACAGCCATAAACTCATTTCCTGAAGAAGAGAGCAACTCCGCCAATGCTTTTTTAGATCCACCCATCTGGAACAACTGCAACAAGACAGTGCAAACCTCAAAAAACGCCTCCTTGCCAGTGTGTCTGACTTGAAGATATCCTATCTTTGGCTGTCAGAAAAGCATGAATTTCCTGTTAGAACTGTACACTTTGAGTTATCCTGGTCATTCCACATTCAAGAGCCAAACAGATGTTCAGTCCTGAGATACAACAGATCTATCTAGCTGATTGTTGTGCTACTTTAGACATAAAAGTACACCAATTTCTAAATCCAGCTTCTAATAGAGAACTAGGGCATTCCAAGAGAACAAATTCATTTCTATAGAACAACATATACTGAAGATCTATCTTCTGTAACTCTTAGTGACACATTTAAAGTTTATCGTGTTATAAACACCTGTTAACCAAACAATCTTTCCTGAAACAAACACATCCACCCTGAAAACAGGTTTCAGGGCATGGCCATGCTTACCTTCTGAAAAGTGGATATGGGCGAGACAGCGTGCATGTTCCCCTCCCCAAAGACTTCCGCCCAGTTCCTCTGGCAAACCTTCATACGATTCTTGAAATGATATTCATTGTCGGGGTTGAATGCCTTGAAAGAAAAGCCCATGGCAATGAGCAGTACGGCTTATGTTATCTCAAAACTTAGCATGATAATATGACTTTTTCAGTTGGAGGTTCTCCTGGCTGACAGTTAAAGATCTAGCAAAAACTAAAGTTTAACAGAAGAGCCTCTGCTCCTGCCTTTCAGTTCTCACTGTATAAAGCATTGTGAAGCTTACTCTCTGTACAGAAATATCCAATATCCATGTGAGACAGATATCTGTAAAAGGGGGGAGATGAACTCAAAGCAATAGTTTTAAAAAATAAACAAGGAAGTGGCAACAGGTGTGTTTTGGTTTGGGTGCTTTTGTGGGTTTTTTTGAGAGTGTTAGTTTCTAGATGTTTTGAACAGCATTCACCCCTTTATGAATTGCAAACTGGATGTTAAATACCTGTAGCAAGCAATGGCTGCAGATTGTAAAACGGTACAACTTAAATAGCTAGAAAAAGCACCAGCAGCATAGATACGAAATGCCAAATACCCAAACACTAGAAACTGCATCAGAGAGTCAAATACCATTGTAAGTACACCAAGCAGGCCCACAGGAATAGGATCTTGTTTTACTCTTTCTGCGACCAGGTCTACCAGCAGCATAAGCATGTTGTATATCCCTTCATGGATTTCAGTTCCCCATTTGTGAACTGCACTGGATGTCAGCAGCTAAAGAAAAAAAATAATTAAAAAGGTAATTTTTGGAAGGCTGAGTACAATCACTAAACAGGAGAAATTCATCAACATGAAACTGTTTTCAGAGCAAATGTTTCCTTAGAGTGTACTAATCACTGTCTGGTGTGTTTTTCAGATGCTCTTCCTGCACTAACGGCATAAGAGTTAATCAAATTCGTAATTTCATTGACGAACAACTTAAATCAGAGCTTATGACAGGAAATAAAATGTACCAAAGCAAACTGTTTTCCATTTCCATGCACTAGGAAAGTCTGTAACCTTTGCAAGGAACAAGTAATACAAAACTAATTTGTTTGCAGATTGAACACACAACTATTCAATCTTCAAGAAGGCGTGCCACAAAGCTGCACTGATTCAGCTGTAATAACCATTTACCAATTCGGTGTTCGAGCAGTTTCTATTGGAAAACAAAGAACATGTACCATGAAGAGAGAGGTATTTCACGCTGCTTTCCCACCTACTGAAACATGTTCTTTAAATCTGGTCTAATGTGGTTGTTTATAAAGGACATTAAGCTTCCATCTGCAAACTTCATTTAATTTCTGCTAGCTGTGTCTGAAGATAGGCAGTTAAAAAGCTCAATACATTAAACACAACTACTTTTTGTGCCATTAATAGTGTTTCTTGCAAATATTTCAGCAAATTGTAATCCAGCACATTCTGAACTTAGATTTCTACAGATCATTCTTCTGGAGGAGCAATCTATGCCGTTTATTTAATAGGTAAAAATCACGAAGTGATTTAAAAGCACTATATGTAAAGTTATTACTCTATAGACAAACAGAAAAAGAATTTTCCCCTTAAATTTCTATCTTACTTCAACATGCTTATATTCTCAGTATTCTAAGATTAGCGCTGAATAACTTTTTAAAAAGTGTATATATGTTTATATATAGAGAGAGAGAGTCTAAAAACTGGGCAGGAAATTTAGGCAGTATCCAAAATGAATAGTGGAAAGTGGTTTGGGGAGCTTTGCAGAGAAAATTCACAACAACCCAGAAAAGAGAAGCCAGAGAGGTACAACTGGCATTAAGCACTGAGGGGAAGGACAAGTTCTAAACAGATCATGAAAATAGGTAAGAGAGATTTTAGCAACCCTTCAAAGAAAGAGCAGAAAGAATACAGTTAAAAGAAATCTGATTCTGAACTTGCCACTAATGACTGTATTCAAGGGTCTTTAAACTTGTCTTTAAGCTTTATTAATTACTATAGTAACTATCATTAAAGTAAACGGAAAAAAAAATAAAAAAGAAAAAAGAAAAAAAAAGGAAAAAATAAAAAAGAAAAAAAAAAAGGAAAAAATAATTAAAAAAAGCTACATACCAGAATCTGCCAGAGTTGCAGAACTGGGACTTTGATGATTTTAATCTAAGTCTATGTATGATTTTAATCTAGGAAAATAATCCGAGTATGATTTTAATCTAAAAACACACTCACTAGTTACCACAGTTTTTTGAAGTCTGGATTACAAGACTCTATTTCTGCCATGAACAATGCAAAGACACACTGAATTGTTCTACTGTACCTACTTACCTTTTTAAATGCTTCAGGCATGCATCTGTCCATAAATCTCTTGCAATTCTCATCAGAATCAGAGAGACCTTTACAGAAAGGAGAGCGCTTTTTAAAAGTATTTTAAAAAAAAAAATACTTTTTAAGATTACCCCAGGGAACTCACTGCAATTTTTTAGGAACACCAAACCCAGCAGTAATAAATGTGCTACTGCTCATTCATAACTAGCGCGCTTTTTCAGCCACAAGAAGAGTGAGTCAAGAAAATTTGCCTTTTCGAAACAAGAAGCTTCCCCATGTTCCATCTTTTACAACTTCTTCAATCATTATTAGCACCATAAGCATTTCTTCCTTTCAAAGTCTCTAACTCAAACTAACTTCAGATTGTTTCTGATGCTCCACAGCCTCCACCCAAAAGCAAATCTAAGTCCAGCCCTTTAACACAGGTTAGAAACAAAGCAGCAAACCAGAACCACCTCACACCTTCCATTCCAACAGATTATAACATCCCTTTAGTTTTTCCATCGTGCCGATGGTAGGCTATCTTGCACTTTCATTATATACCACTTGTCGGGCCTCTTAACCCCAAAGTACTGGATACAGAAAACTCAAATTCAGGTCTAATGTAGGATAAGCATTTCACTAGGGAAAAACAACTCGTTATACAAGTGTGGGACAGCATGGATTTAGATGACAGCTTGTTTTTACGAATGGAAAATAACCAACACAATGAAGAAAAGAATCAGTAATTCAGCTCTGAAAAACAGTAATTCCTGCAATCATTAGAACATAAAGAAACATGTGCTCCACTTTTCAAAAAAGCTTAAGTAAACAAATTACTTTAGAGAAAAAAAAAGAGAGAGAACATTGTTTTTACAGCATTGGGTAGAATAGTTCATGGTTAACCACTCTGACAGAGATGTGATCACTCCACAGGGTGCTAAGTAAACAAGTACAAGATTAATATGAAAGACTTAACAGCCTGTCTTTGCAATCCTTTGAACAGATAATTTTCATATGTGTAGAAAGAGAACTTACCCAGTCTTGCTAAGTAGGTGGATGCAATTAGGCACTTGCCTAGAGACTCCTCCCGCTTATAGGGTATGGACCAGTGATCTGTTAAAACTCTGCTCTCCAGTTCATACAAGTTAGTTGTTGGAAACTCAATACCTTCACCAGAACAGTTCCCATTTTCATCATTTTTCTGTGAATAAAAAGGAAGCACAACTGAAATCATTTTAATTTCTCTCTCCTGAACACTGTAAAGGATTCAGTAGTTTGGAGAAAGCAGCTGTTTTTGTAACAAGCATGTCAAATTCTCAACAACCCTGAGGCTTCTTGTGTTTGTCAAAGTAGAACTTACTGTTTCAATTTTAATTGAAGGGATTACATACCTTTATGTATTTCATGTAGGTGATAACTACTATGTTTACATAACTAATTGCTAACTAATTGCCTATTTAAGTGGCAAATCTTGTTCCTTAGCATATCAGATCCTAGAGCCAAGTGATAAGCACTTCCAGCCCCTGAGAGACTGTAGAGTACAAACCCTGATCTTCATAGATCTGCATATTAATCCTCTGTTCAACAACTGCTGTAGAATATGGAGCAGTTTATTCTAAGGGAGGCCGATTTCATCACTGTCTCACCTCATCACGTTAAGAAACACAAGACACTAACCCATTACATCAGTTTTGGGTTTAACTAGCTATTTATCTAAGGAAAACATCTCAAAGACAGCTGTCCAACAAGAGAACTACAACTGTCCTCCTGAAGTCAAACTGAGTTACCGGCAAATGTTCTGGAAGGCAAAGAGGAAAAGAAGAAAGCAGATGTCTGCAGCTAACCTTTACAGGTTTTCTTGCTAGCGCCACTAAACAGCAGCTATTTCTGTGTACAGGCAGAACACAGAATTAGTCCCATGTTCGTTGCTAAGTGCCATATGAGGTAACTGCCTCAGTAGCTTCAAATGAAAGAGTAGACAAGTTACCCATTTATTTTTTGTTTATTTTTTAACCTCACATAGAAGCTGGCTACCCAATGTGTCAGAGAGTTCACATGGACTAACTTTCCTGCATTCACACGAGCAGACAAGTCAAGCAGGAGAAAGGACAGAATGTCTGGCTCAGGCCTGGCAGCAACCAGGGGCAACTCTCCGACACAGAGGAAAACACAAGTGCCGTGAAGGTAACAAGATCCCCTGAGAGAGAAACCAGGCATATGCAGGGAGGAAGGACAAGCAGGAAACATATTCAGGATTAAAAGAAGAGAAAGAAAAGAAGCGTCAGGAAGGTGAACCAAACAAATGGAAAGGAATAAACCAAAAGAAAGTACTGAACTTAGGAGAACAAGGTATACAAAGAATTAAATCAATGCAGGCAGACGAGTGGGCTTCCAGCTCTCTCACTGCACTTGCTATTTGCAGAATTAGACCCGTTTATTAAAAAGCAAATGTGTCATATTCAATTTTATAGCAATTCAAAAATATTAATCCAAGGAAACAGCAATTGTATAGAGCTTACCCTTTAAAGTTCACTGGTGCAGGTCATGATAGCACACAGTGGCTGGACTTACTAACAGGTTCTGCAGAGCAGCAGTAACATTTATAAGAATGGAACACAAAATATTGCTCAGAAAGAAACAAACATGCCAGTGTTTGTGAAGTAAGGTGCCATCTTTTCTCTCTAGTAAACATTTATCTACTTAGTAGACATTTATCTACTTTAGTAGACCTGAATATCAACTTCTGAAACTGTAATCGTTTGATCCAGTGCTGTGCATGTAAGTCTAAAGTAATTCACGTCTAATCATGCTCTGATGTTTGAAGGTCTAAATGAAAAGACACTGAAAGCATTTAAAAGTAAAAGTTTTCTAGGAAATATCTTGCTGTATTGATTAAACAAACAACAGTTCAGTTCACAGCTTTTGTAAAGGAAACCCATCCAGAACACAGAACCATTTCCTGTAGAAAACAAACACGCGGTTATCAAGAAAGCCCTTACAGTAACGATACGGGATAAAACCGTTAGTTTAATAACTAATAGCTTCAAAATGTATTCCTGCAGCATTTAGCTAATTAACTCATCAAACACTGCTTAACTAAAGCCACTGATGTGTACCACACTGATCCCTTTACATAAAATAACAAGCTTAAGAAAGTGTTTTGATGCTAATTGGTGGTCTTAGTAATGAAATTACAGTCAAATTATGATTTAAATTTGTTCATTTGATTTTGATAGAAGGCTACCAGCAGAATTTAGTATCACCAGAGCTAAGTCACATTATGTGCTCTTGAATCTAGAGTAACTTAGGAAGCAGAACTCCAGTCATAGTTCTTTCAAGAAGCAACAGGATCAGACTTTCTAAGACACCAGCAGATCAAGCACTTCACTCTCATGACTAAGCAATTTTCACAAAATGAGCACCATTTTGCAGCCAAGAAAATAGATTTTTGAGGCTTCACTGTACTGTTAAAAAAAACACCAAAGCAGCAATAACTATATTTTATTACTATGTACCTACAAACAGGACCAAATTGAAATGCTCTGAAAAGTAGTAATGAAAAAAATGCTTAAATCCAGAATTAGAAGCCAAAAATTCTAGGTCGGCCTTTCAGTTTTTAGCAAAGACTTATTAAGCAATAACAGCAAAATCAATTCTTCAATGCTTCATCTTCCCAATCTAGGAAGTGTCAGCAGCGATACGTTGCTCTGCCATAGCGTGCTGATGCACCATTCACTGGTGTTTGCAAAGCACTGCAAGACGCTCAGGTGGAGGCAAGAAAGAAAAATATATCAAATACCCATAAAAACAGACAAAGCACTTCTCTGCTCTCTGACCTATTATGTCCATCAGTTTGTGGGAGAAACTATGAATCCTGAAGTCATGACTTGACAGTCCCTCTGTCTGCCAAACTACTGATTAAAGCAGCATTTTCTTTCACGCCTGGATGTCAATTCTTTTTTCTTTTAATTATCTCCTAAGAGGAGGATATTCTGTTACCTAGAACTGAATCACAAGGGTAAGAATGAAAAGACTTTCAAATAAATCAGAGTTACAACCTTGTACTCACTCTTGAATACACTAAGCATGAGGCATTGTATGTTTAAAAAGAGACATTACTTTTTCATATCTGTAATCTACTTTCTTTTTTACAAACTGGTGCTCCAAGAGCTTCAACAACTTCTTTAAACTCATGTCAAGTCACATATATGGGAAAAAAATTGAAGAGTATTTCCCAGTTGCATGTTCTTCCTATCAGATCAAATTCATCCAACCCTCATTGCTAAGAACAAGCTTGGTATCATTTTATGAATATGACAACACTAGTAAGCCTCAGAAAACGATGTCATATATGGAATTTCCATGTTATGTTTCTTAATAGGCAATAAGAAAACCCACTGTGATTTCCTAAATGTTACAGACTCCACCTATCTGAAGCTGATTTTGATTCTCACCTCATCATAAAGGTGGCCTAAGAAAATTCTCATTTATTTAGTGAATGTTCTTACAGCAAGTTTTGGACACTGACCTTAACTGAGAGTAGTGCAAGTGCACTGTCAAGAGCACATGGTTAGACTCAGCCCTTCTCAGTAGTTGTAAGGAATTACAACGAGTCAACCACAAAACCCACATGGCTTTGCACTCCCACGCCTACCCCCTATTTCTCACAACTAAGACCTGTGTAAGACTGGTAGTAAGAGCACAATACAAATTTGGAAAATATTCAAAGCTAGATGTTAACTACAATTTTCAACAAGCATGGCCTGCATCGGTCTCTCTGATTTCCAGCATGATGGTGCAACGTTACTAAGCTATATTCCCCAATGCACTTGCCTAGCTGCTCAGAGATAAACACAGTACTAAGCATTGCAGGAAAACAAAATAATTGAGGCTCTCTAAAAAACACAATTCAATTAAAAGATCATTTAACTTACAAAAAAGGAACTTTGCCCTTTTATACTACTATCACCACAGTATTTGGTGAAATCTGAGGCAGACAGATTCCTTATAACCACTTCTGGCAACACATTTTAAAGTTTGATCGCTAGTTGTAGGCGAGGGAGAGGTCACAGAAAGCACTGTTAAGAATGCCATTCATAAGGAACCAAGGAAAACACACTTATCTTGCATGTGTTTTCAGTATTGTCTGTGGATATATTTAAAGAACTTATTCCATTAGCATAACTACAAGCAGCCAGACTATGAGCCGACACCCTAATTCCTCCTAACCCTTGAGTTTTCATAAGCAAAAAACCCAAATAACTCAAAATAACTTCGTGTGGTATCAGATAAACATTTTGATTTACTACAATAAAGCAATGAATCACAAATGCTTAGCATTTCAACACTTACAATTAAGTCAATACTTCTATCTTCCTTTGCCAAAACACCAGGCACTAATAGAGAAGTACTGCAGAAACACTAGATAAAGTATTTACAATATTTTAGTGATCAAAGGTCAGGCTCTGGAAGGGAGAATTAATTCAATAACACTGTTAAACACTCATCTGTACTTCTGTTCTATGGATACACATTGATGCAGAGTGAGACAGAACTAGAACTCGCAAAGTGGCTGACACACAGTTTGAATTCAAGTTTTACAATGTATTATCACAAAATTGTGATAAAATAATATGAAAAAAAAATCTTTAAATGCCTCTTGAGAGGCATCAGAACAAGAGAAGTCAGAACTGCTGTAAAGCAGTGAGAAAGATCAAGTGGCAAGAAACACTGAGCATATTGGCTTTTTAAAATTAATTTTAAATTGGCCCACAAAACATACCCAAAACATATATACCAAAGACTATTCCTACGGCAGCATGAATACGTGTTTTTTTCAAAGTAAGAGCCTACAAAAAGAAATAGGCACTTCCTTTCCATCTTTGCCCTCCTCATACAAAGAACTACTGTTCCTTAACCCAACAGCAATCCAAATGATTTGCTGGAATTAACTTCCAACACTGGCTAATTTGTTTTTATTCTCATTCTTCCTCAGTATTTCACTTCCTTATTAAACAGCTGCTACCGAATAGCACTGTAAACTGGGAAGATGACCAGAAAATGCCTCCAAGGAACATTATATCAACGACTCTTCCTGCCCAGCTGAGAAGTTGGTGAAACAGTTGTCTCCCACCTCCACTGACCCCACAGGCATCACCTTTACCAAGGAACCAGTTAATTACAAAGTGCTCGTCTCAA